CAAAAAAAAAAAAAAATTATACTAAATAACTTATTTATTCAATTTTTTTGGTGTGGGCGGATATAAAGTTCTTACTTTATTGGACTTAACTGTGAACAATTGTTGGTGCAGAGAATACAAAAAATGCTTATTGATGGTATCGAGAAATGGGCGCCACAGCTACCGATCAAAAGGGCTGTGGTTGACTTTTCCTCGCCTAATATAGCTAAAGAAATGCATGTGGGTCACCTAAGGTCAACTATTATTGGGGATACGCTAGCCCGTATTCTCGAGTTTTCAAATGTAGAAGTTCTTCGACGAAATCATGTTGGTGACTGGGGGACACAGGTGATGTATTCATTTTAGGTAATGCAGTTTGATAGCATATGTAACTAATTCAGATTCCAAGAGAAAAAAATTGCTAACTTGGACATTTCAAGTTTTCCACCACTAACATTTGGCACTTGCCTTTTCTATATACACACCAGGCTCACATAACATGTTTATTTCACATACACGCATCTAGGTGTTTTACCCTTCATTATGTAACAATCACAACCTTCTGAAGCTTGGGAATACAGCCAGTAGGTAGATATTATTATTCTTTCTAGCTCATTGTTCAATATGCTTGGTAGAGAGCACTCGTTTTTTCCATCACTAAATGTGGCTCAAGTAAGTTCTGTGTCTATTGCAGTTCGGTATGTTGATTGAGTTCCTTTTTGAAAGTTCCCAAGCATAGAAGATGTTAATGAATCGGCTATTGGTGATCTACAGGTGAGTGAAAGTTTTCTCCTTACATTTTAGTCATTTAAATGCTTATGTTGTATTATTTTATCATGTGCATTCTTGTTTGGTAAACTTCCTTTGGCATGATGAATCAGAAAATAAAGTGAAAATGATTGTTAGTGACTTTAAACGAATGGTGTTTTGTTAGGCATTCTATAAAGCATCAAAAAGAGATTTGATTGATCCTGCTTTTAAAGTGAGCACAACGCGGCCAGTGGTTTCCTTCAGGTGAGTTATGCATTTTTAGATTACACGAAGACACGGTTGATCTCTCTATCCATGATGTTAGTAAAATTCAAAGTATGGGAGAATGTGTTTTTGTGTTTCTCTTTCAAACTTGGTTGTGGTTCAACTCATTTGCAGGGTGGAGAACCAAGTACAGAAATGCATGGCTGAAAATCTGCGAAATCAGCCGTAAAGAATTCCACAAGGTCTATGAACGCCTTGGAGTTCATTTAGAGGAAAAGGTATGTTCTAACTTCGCAGGATATTCTTATAGCAGGCTATTGATATTCTTGTATCCCTTTGAATAAGAAACAACTAGTTGATTGAAATTAGATGCAAAGTAAAAAATATGAGACGGCCATGTCTGTCCTTTGCATACAGAAGCTTTTATAATAGCACTTCATTTTTTGCACGTAAGCTTTTCTAATGAGTGAGACATTTGAAGATTAAGTACTATTGCTTTCCTCCTAGATTGTGCACTACAGGAAAACCTGGTTTGGTCCCAGCAAGTTGGTTGGTACTTGTAGTACTACGTGATTTCAAGTTACAACAAGATGATGCCATATTGAAACATTATTATTGCAAGACACTAAAGATGAATTTAGTTTATATTTTGATTGGCCAATAGCTGTGATGGGAATAATACTTTAAAGTTTGCCCTTAGCTGTGCATTTGCATATGCAATGTTGATTATAAAGTGTGCATTGCTTCTGCTATTGTATACAATCTACTTGTGATATAATGTTTTTACTTTTGTGCCCTGAATTATTGAAAACATTGGAATCATTTATATTGAAATGTGGTTGAAATGCAACATGGATTATTTTTGTTTGTAATAACTGTATATAGTATAGAATATTTGTTGGGTTTAATTTTGCATCTTTAGTTGCTGAGAGTAAGCAGTAAAGTCATATATGTTCGTTTTTACTTTTCGTTTTTGACAGGGAGAGAGTTTTTATAACCCATATATTCCTGGGGTTTTAAAAGAATTGAGTGATAAAGGCTTAATTGAGGAAAGCCAGGGTGCTCGTGTAATCTTTCTGGAAGGGTTTAACATCCCTCTTATTGTTGTCAAGAGCGATGTGTTTCAACTATGCTTCACTGATTAGCAGCCCTTTGGGTATATTTTTTTTTTTTTGATAATTTTCATGAATTTTATGAGTCAAACTTATTACGTTATGCCGGTCATTTAGCCTTGTTTCTTTACTATAGTTCTTTGTTCTTCAAACTTGGCCCCTTTGAGAGTAAGTGTCATTCTTAGTTTCTTACTGCCTTTTCTCCCTGCCCTGTTTGTATAGGTATCGCCTTAATGAGGAGAAAGCGGATTGGATCATATGTTACTGATGTTGCCGCAGCAGCATTTTAATATGTTTTTTGAGGTACGTTGCTAAAACTGTGACCTGTCTCTGCATACCCTGATTTGTGGTGTTTCGTTCATTTTCTGGTCTATGTTATTGTTGTAATAATTTATCGCGTAGCATAAATCTTCTTCTGTGGTTTCAAGTTCATGTTCTCGCTTCTAAGGCTTACGGTAATAGTAATACGATGCAATTATATGGTTGGACATAATTTGATGTTTTGTTTCAGGCAGCTAAACGTGCAGGTTGGCTCCCAACTGATGGCGCCTTGAAACCAAAGGTTACCCATGTTGGTTTTGGTCTTGTTCTTGGAGAAGACGGAAAACGCTTTCGTACTCGCTCTAGTGAGGTGGTCCGATTGGTTGATTTGCTAGATGAAGCCAAGGATCGTAGCAAAAAGGTTCTTGTTGAACGTGGTATGATATCCTATGACCTATGTTCGAACATATTCTGAAGGTGTAGAACATATCCTGAAGAGAATTGTATTAATCATCTTAGCATAGATTAGTATTCCGTATCTCCGAACCTCTAAATCTTCTCAAGTGGGTAATTATGTTTTAAAATTCAGGCTGGACTGAGCAGGAGCTTAATCAAATTGCTGAGGCTGTTGGTTATGGTGCTGTTAAGTAAGCTGCCTAAACTTTTTTAAGTTTCTCCTGGTTATGTTGTAATTATTATCTTCATAATGGATGGGGTGGGATAGCTTAGGTAAATTTTACGATAACGTATAAACTGTGACTACTGCCCCAGATTTTCTGCATCCTGAAGGTGAATGGATATATCAATGTAGTATTTCTTGAAGAACCTTAGGAATGGTTAAAAACTCCATGGTATCCATTTACAAAAACAATTAGAGAGAATGTATATGAATAATTGCATACTTTGTCCAGCCTGTAGATTGTTCCTAGAATGGGACTTAATTCTTTTATATTCTTAATGTTTTGACAGGTATGCTGATCTGAAGAACAATAGATTAACCAATTACACGTTTGATTTTGATCAAATGCTAAGTGATAAGGTGCGTCAACTAGTATTTGGCAAAGGCTTTGCATTAAGATTGTTCCTGACTTGTTCTAATTACTTGTCCTATATGTATTAAACTATGTTACTAATGCATTCTGTCCTACGGTTCGGAAACTACCTGAGCAGGGAAACACTGCTGTTTACTTACTCTATGCTCATGCTCGGATCTGTTCCATAATAAGGAAATCTGGCAAAAACATAGAAGAATTGAAACAAGTAAGTTCAGCTGCATTTTTCCACATCGTTACCTGCGCTTATTTATTCCTATGCGCCACTGGAAACTGGTGGATGGGGTCTGATTTTATTTTTTATTTGAACAGAAGGGGGAAATCGTGTTGGATCATGATGGTGAGCGTGAATTGGGGCTTCATTTGCTACAGTTTTCAGAGGTATGTGCATGCAATAATTGAACTGATTGTTGTCTTCCTGATGTCCTTAGCTCGAGTCTTCGTTGATTACTGCTGTAATGTATGTGGAATTCAGAGTTGTATTTTTCCTCTTCACTTTTCAGAACGTGGAGGAGACCTGCACTAATCTATTGCCGAATGTTTTGTGTGAATACCTATACAATTTATCAGAGGTCTTCACCAAAAAATTCTACTCCAATTGCCAGGTACACCCGTCTTTGTCTGTCTCATGCTTTACGCTGATGAGTTTTGATAATGTCACATTTCTGGGATGAACTGAAGCCAACTTTTAAACTCAACGATGGATCATTATTTAGCACCGAAACCTGAGAGCCTTCTACGTAATAATATAATGAAGTAACCAAATCGTTGTTCATTTGGCTTGCCTCACTAGGCTAGGAAAACAGTACATGCCTAAGCATATACAATGAAATTTGGTGAATGTACATGATGTTTTGTTGAATACAATCCTGACAATCTTATTCATCTTCATTGCATTCTAAAACTTTGCAGGTTGTCGGGTCTCCCGAGGAAACGAGCAGGCTCTTGCTCTGTGAAGCAACAGCCATTGTGATGAGGAAATGTTTTAATCTGCTCGGTATCGAACCGGTTTACAAGATATGATGGACCAAAATAGTGTTGTAACCATTTTAGTTAACGGGGATATTTGAATGCTTGTTTTCCGTTTGCGCTGTAAAATTGTAATCAGATCTTCAGTTGATAACATTTTTGGTGAAAAGTGTTAATGTTATTTTCTTTAAATTACATTTCTATCTTTCCAAATTTCAGAGTTCAAAATTTGAAAGAAAAAGGACCAAGTGTTGAATTGGAATTTTCTTCTCACACACGACTTGTGGTATCGCATCTCACCAGAAAAATACAGCAAAACGACATCATTTGTAATTTCGTATAAAAATAGATAAAAATCGAAGGCTATGATTGATTTGGTACGAATCATGTGACTCCCATAATTAAACCTTTGCATTAAGTTTCATGCTTCCATTTTTCTTATTTTAATTTCTCTTGTTATTTTGTGTAGTTTGATTTTTATTTGATTTGTTCAATTTAAAAACTACAAAAATAAAGGAGTGCAAGATTTAAAAAAAAAAAGAAAAGAAAAAGAGCATAAGCATTACTTCTTTAAAACCCAAATCGAAATGCGAGTCATTTTTTTTATCGGTTACAAGATCAAATCCTAACTCTTGAATACCAAAAAACCATGCCAAATTTCTTATATGTTTTAGCATAATTAGAAGAAAAAAATTTCTGTACAGAGATGGATAAATTAAATAAAGCTTAATTAACTAATAAATTAATCCAATAATTTTCCTCTGTTACTAAGGGAATACAAGAAGGATCCTCCTCCTCTTGAAGCTTTCTTTGAAATATTAGCTTTTGGAGAAAGATACGGTGATTTGTGACCATCAAAACCACCACCAAAGCTCTTGCATGCCTTTATTCTCTTCCTACAAGGTGCTACCCTTTTTGCAAGGTCCTCTAAGCTCGTCACACTTGCTAGGGTCGTGAAAGATTGTGACTTTCCTTCATAACATTTTGATAAACCTCTCCTGCATATATATAAGAAACCCTAATAAAAAAAACCATATAATAATATGGAAACATATATAGTACTAACTGGAAAATCGTCAGGGTAAACAGAAAAACCATCGGCTGGGCTCCTTACTTGATAGGAAGATGCATCATTAGGTCAGATAGTTCGTAAAGCGGCCCGTTCGATGACGATGTAGAAGAAGATGAAGAAGCATCCTCCACCAAGTCAGATGAAGATGATGATTCCATTGAGCTCATAGAATTCTCCATGGAAGAAGATTCAAAAGATCTTGAGTCATCACAAATATCTTCTTCGTGTTCTTCGTTGAAAACCCAAAATTCCTTTCTAACTTGATGAGTATGATTTTCTTCTCTATTTTGACCCCCAGAAGCTCTCATTTCTCCTTCACGACGACCCATTTCTTGCAATCTTAACGTTGAAGATTCTGCAGAACGTCAATACAATACAGTTTCCAACAGGCTTCTGTTCAAGGGAGCATATATATAAGCATGTGTGTATGTGTATGTATACGTGTATATATAATATATATATATATATATATGCCAAAAACCTTCCATAAAATACTTGGTGGTGTTGCGTTTATTAATGAGGAGATGGATGGGAAGAGGTCCCCTCCGGATCTCTCCCACCAAATCCTAGGGATTCGGAGATTAGAACCTTTTAAATTTGATTCAACGGTTATAATTAATATAATTTTTAGAGGATTCTCTGTTTGTATTCATTTGATCAAATTTCAAGGATCCGAATCTCCGAATCTCTAGGATTTGGTGGAAGAGATTCGGGGAGAGAATCTCTTCCCGAGATGGATTACACTGACTGTTCTGTTATATTTTTATATTAAATTTTAATTTTTCTACATAAGGCTTTATCCCAGATTTTGTCATCGCATCCTTATGGTCTAAATTTATTTGCTTTCCCATACTACAAGAAATAAGGATAAGCTCCAACTTGGTAGACATCCAAACCTGAGTCACCATCTTTAGGGCAACTTTTGCCTCTTAAAGTCATGACAGATTCCCTATTTACCCGTTGTTAATTTCGAGTTTATCTTCGATACTCCATAAGAGATGAGTCAAAATTTAAAATTCAAACAAAAAAAGAGAAAAGATAAAGGGCTAAATTTTTTTCAAGACAAAGTGAGAATATTTTTTATAGGTTTGACAGTAAAAACGTTTAATTTGCATTCAATTTAATGGGGGTAGAGTCCAAAGATTTCAATTGTCACACTTTAATTTGTCTTGGACGCAAGTTTTTACTAGGGAAAACCCTTGTTTCTCCACATAAATTGGAAAAAATTCTTGCTTCCTTCTCTTGTACTTTGACCTTGAAAATTCTGTTCTCTAAAATTTCTCCTACCATGCGTAAGGACGATACTTACCTGTTTTGGAGTGATATGAAAAATATTCTTATTGTTTTCGTCACATAACAATTCACAAGATAAAAATTAGAGGTCGCACTTGGTGCGATGGCAAGTGCCTTCGCCCATGAGCGGTAGGTCTCGGGTTCGAGACTTGGGAGCAGCCTCTCCATAAATGGGGGTAAGGCTAGCCGACATTCACCTCTCCCAGACCCTGCGTAAAGCGGGAGCCTTGTGCACTGGGTACGACATACGACCTTAAGTGTTTTTGTGAGCTTAATTATAATAAAGAATTGTACGAATATATTTTTATGATATATTATTTGAATGACAAGAAGGAAGACTCTAAGTTACCTGAAATAACAAAGTATAATGTTTTAGCTAACTTTATTGCAATTTTTAATGATAATAAGGGATAAAGTCTAATTAAATTATAAGATTGGTTGGTTTTTTAGTGATTTTGTTTTGTTGACAAATGATAAATTTTATTAAATTAGTTATCAACAGATCTCAAATCTATGTTATCATGTAAAAATTTAATATTCTTTTACCATGGTAAATCACCACTGATTTTTTATTGATGAAGTTATTAATTATGGAGAGTTTTGGGGTTTGGTAAAGAAAGGGAATGAGGATAAGGACCAAGGGAGGTTGACTAGGTAACAGCTCATGCTGATTGGATGTGTGTTTTGATGGGCACTCAATCTCCCACCACATGCTTCTTCTGCTTCTGCCATTACCATGTTTATCATTCTTCTTTATCTTATCCATGTCACTTGTAAATCTCCTTATCACAAATAAAAATAAAAATAAAAAAACTGAAAAAAAATTTATTTTGGGTCAGGATTGCCAAACTGAAAAAACTAAAAAGCCCCTCTATAATTTAATGTTTTTTTTTTTTTATATATAGAAGCCCACAGAAAAACCCTAGATTGGTGGCATTGCTGACTTATCCCCATCCCCACCACGCCTTCTACCTCATCGATCCGCATTCTTCTTTTCTATTTATTGAAGAACGGGACTTTGGCTGCTGAAAAATCAGCAGCAGTCCTTATTGATGATCAATTACAGTTGGACACGTGTTCAAATTGTTTATTTTTTAATTCAACTTGAACACGTATCCAGTACTTGATCATCAGCAATAGTTGCTACTGATTTTTTCAGCAGCGAAGTTCTTTCCTTTATAGAAAGGGTGTTTAAGTATGAAAATATGAATGAGGAACTGGTGTGACATCATCTTGTTATGGTATGGTGAAGACATGGAGCTTTGGTCTCCTTTTGTTCATCATACTACCTACTTTTCCTTGAATCTTGATTAAAATCATGGGATATAGCATGATATTGTAATTTTGTAGACATTATATTAAATATAATTATATTAATATATGAGAAGATTTTGAGGAAGACATTCCAATCACGTCATCTACAAGCTAGCTCGAATAGGTGAGGCTACGGAACCCAATTGCAAGAATTCCTACTTTTTGTGAGAGCTGTAGTTGTCCTACGGATAACGTAATCATGCTTTCTTGCTAAAGGTTTTCGTGATGGGCCTCACAAGAATATGAACCAAACAATGGCAAGCAAAAGCATCTGCCAACTGAAGATTATTCTCAATATGCAAGGACAAATATTTTGAATGAAAAGCTGTAGTTACTGCAGGAGAATTCATGTAATGGTTTGATCAAAACTGAACACTGATACGTATGGGGGAAAACAACGTTGTTATTCTCAAATGTTACATTGCAGTGACATACTATCTAGGAAAATTTACAGGAGGTTCTAAGCTGCCAACCAGAATCTCGAGATCAATGTCTTTGTCTTCGAACTTCTTGATGAACGGGTGACTCTGAAAGGATTAAGTGAAATCTCTATCAAAATTATGACCGCGAAAATAAAACCCAAATTTTTTCAAAACAAGAAAAGAAAAACAGCGGCTTACTAACCAAAAGGTCCAAACATGATGATCTGTGTTGAGGATCCTTCTGTATGCTGCAAATCGAATAAGAAATATAAAGAGTCACATTGCAGTGGATTTGATATGTAAAAGGTGAATAGTGCAAGTAATATGTTAATTACCAGGCAGACACAAAAGAACAGAACTCGGGGGAGAACTGATCCGGAGGAGCTGAAGGTGGTGGACTTTCCACAATTGCCTCCAAAAGCTCATAAAAGCTTGGCCAGCTTTGTTGATCTTCAGATTGCATGTAAGGAAACCTCCCGATAGCACACTCCAGTACCACCAAACCTAAACTCCAAATATCACAGCTATAGTCATAAGTACTCCCGCTAATTCGCTCCGGCTGGAAGACAATGTAATGTCATAGTTTCATGAGTCACGTTCAATGGTTTTGGGTAATTACATGTGAAACAAAGGTGAGGAAAAGAGGATTACTTACCGACATGTAATTGTAAGTACCACAATGTGTCTCTTAGACCCATAGAGCTAGCTAGTGAAGCACTCACACCGAAATCAGTAATCTTTACCTGCCCTTCATGGTTTACAAGCAGGTTGGACGGTTTTATGCTCTATGTATTACATGCCTTTTTGTTATGCAGATAGACAAGACCTTGTAAAACCTGATGCATAAGTATAGATCTTTGAGATAAAGGGTAAAACGGGACTTCTTCAAACGGGTTCCTAGTGATTTAAGAACTGACATAAATTTAAAAGATACACTCGTATACCTGTTTACAAACGACTGCAAGATATGGTTCAAGAATTGTATTAACTTGTCCGATCACATCTGCAAGAGATCCCCGATTCATGTATTCTAACACAAGAGAAATGGCCCCATTGTGATAGAATGAGTGGTGACAAACCACCACATGTGGACATTGTGCTGCTTGGTTTATTTTTAGCTCCTGCACAATCTGTTTACGAATTTCCTCTTGTATGTTCATCTGGATCACCTGGAGAACAGAATGAGAAGAAATCCTAGTAAAACAGCTATGAGATATATAACTCCACAAACTAAGAGCCGCAATGTCCTAATTGCATCTGATACTCATCGCATCAACTTTTTACTCGGAAAGACCAGCCACATTTATAACCAAGATAAGAGAACGATGCCATGCAAGTATTAGGGTGAGAACTGAAATAGTTAACGAGTATCACAGTTCTAACAAGCAATAACTAAGAGGTAGATATAACTGGACAGTACGGTACAGAAGAATCTCATGCTCTTCTTTCTGGGAAGGGAGGATTAAAAAAATCCTATTGGTTGCAATTCCCCCAAGTCTTTGCTAAAACGATTTTCATAAACATCAAAATTTCTTTATTGATTTCAAAGAATTGCCAAAATAAGTGAATGAACTATAAAGTGCTTTTTTTCCCTCCGTTCATCACTAAATTGTTCTGGTATGCATAACACATCAACTCTCTTAAGTTAATATCCATTCCACTTGAATCCTTAACTAAATCAAACCTTTAGATTACAGAGCAATGTTAAAACATCTATTACAACTGTAATCTGCACATAAGCCTTGTGGTTCAAAGAGAAAATTTCTTCTCAACCTCATGTGAGACCAGACTATATCAATTTGCATCACAAAAGAAACAGATCAAATATGACATAACACGATAAAGGCAAGTACATAAAGGATAAGAGAGCAGTTGTCTTTGCTAGACTGCTAGTCCACTGACCTTCAAGGCGAATAGTGTTCCGACCCATTTATGACGAACAAGTTGTACTACACCACCACTTCCCTTCCCGATAATTTTGATAGTCTCAAGGTCTTCCAATGTAATTTCAAAGTTGAGCTCCTTACTGTCAGAAGATTGATCCTACATACCAAACAGGCAATTAATCATATTGTGTCTATACACCATATAGTAAACATGAAAATTTATTTATTATGAAAACATTCAAAAGGACATTTCTGTGCAGATAAGAGCACATATGTACATCAAAATACAAGAACACCAAGCGTGTGTTCATGGAAGCATGCAAAAACACACACCAACATAAAAAGTCAGCCCTGATAACTTAGGATGCAAAATCAATCCTCGGAGATTTAAAGCATAAGCATAGGACTTGTGAACTTTAATATTTATAAGTTGGACATGTTCTGGATGAAATCAGAATCTCCATCCAAGAACACTAAACTCAAATGATGATGTTGAAATAACTTGGAATTCAAAAGCAGCTCTTTATCATCGCTGTAAATTCACCAATCATGCTTCTGCAGTGGGAAGCTTAACAAGATTAAGCCTAATTTTTTTCCGGCTGGAAACCATTAAGGTCTC